CGAGCTAGTTCAGGCAGGTCAATCTCGAGCTGCGCTGATTACCCCACACATGCATGGCCTTATTCCATAATCACTAACCAAGTGAACCAATCTGGCGGTCCTATTTAAACTGCAGAATTTCCCAGCTCTCCCTCTGCTCTGTCAATGCCGCTGTTGCCCTGCATCGCGTATTGCTGTTGCTCTGTAAAGCTATTGCTGCTGCCTGCCGCTGTAAGCCCACACCCACCACCCCAGCATCCACCTGTAGGACTCCGAGGGCGGTTTAAGGTATTTGCGCATCACTTTCCCCGCAATATCTCTATGTAAACTATCTGCAGGGGAGTGATGAGGTCGGAACCTAGAAGCCAATATCTATAATATGCTGTACTGCTTAATAAACATCCAAACGTGAGTTGGCTGACTGAAATGCAACTTGTCACACTGTGTGTAGCTCGCAGGCTTCGCTCCATAAGTGATACTGTGAATGAAGAAAAGACAAACAAACAGTCCCTCTTGGCCATTCTTTATCATTCTATAAATGCCTGAACGGAACAATGACATGTCTGAGATTGATTCTGAGATTTACAGCGTGGCAGACACACTGGGAGGCCAATCGATACGCCCTTCTTGGAAGTGGTGTTGATTAATGACGTGCATTAATCTCCACGTCTGACCTCAGAGCAGAGTCCCCAAAGCAAGCACAAAATAATCTTATTTACAACCATGGATCATACGTCAGCTCCACGTGGCCAAACAGAGAGCTGACTGTTTGAAAAGTCTGAACTTAATTGCTTGGTGCTCATGTGATGTGATGTGTGATAATGTCAACAACCCTCCTCCACTACATACCCACTCCATCAGAGATGTATCAGAAACTGTCAGTACCATCTGGCATCTGATATCTGGAAAGATTCTGGCGAGACGCACTGGTCCTTTAAATATGCATTTAGATGCTTTTTATTGTCTTTTTTTATAACTGTGAAGAACAATGAAACCCTGATTTTGAGTGTTATGTATGTAATGTAAGTTATTTTCTTCAGATGGTTCCTGTCTAAACCGAAAACAGCAGCATTTAACATTTGAAAAGTTTGGCTGTCTCCTCTACTGCTTGCCCATCTTTTATGTATGACTCAATATAAGGTCAAGGGTCATTTGTGGTCCCAGAATAGCGTGTGGAGATTTACAAAGAAGAGTTTGAGGACTACTGTAGTTAGGTCTGATTTCCCACCTGAACTTGAACCCAATTCCTTTCCCCCATGGGCAGGTAGAGATGAATGTAGTCGAGAATCTAATAAAGAATGAAACTCGGTTGACCTTTTAATATTCTTAAAGCTAAGATTTTCTGTTTAGATATCTCCAGGCATAAAGCTTTGTCTCGTTCATCCTTAAAGGGTTAGTTTGGAGTTTTTGAAATGGGGTTGTATGAGGTATTTTAGCCATCTAAGAAAAGGCCCACCAAAACCATATCAGTATCAGTTCATGTGTACACTATTTAGAGTATTTTCATGGGTACCTCGACATCATACAGCCTTTTGCGACAGATGTCTTTATTCCAGTCTATTCCCAACATCTCTGCACTGTTTGTCTGTTTGTTGGTTTGTATAGGGTTTTTTCCCCTTGTTTTTCTTGTTTTTGTTTTGTATTGGTTTCCTTTTTTTCCTGAAATAATCTCAGTAAAAAATATTGGTAACCAGATAAGTACAGTGAACCCTTTAGGGAACCCACAGGGTCTATTTACACCCCCCCTTGGAGAAAGAAATCGAAACAACAAATAAAATTTGACCAGATCAGATTTTTCAGAGCTCGATCTCTGAGGGAGGACTCCTACAGTTCTAAGGAATTATGGGAAGAGAATTTAGGGTCTTCTATAGGTCACTGTTTGTCTGTCAGTGCAGAAACTGCACACTTATCACCTGTGTTTTCTCCCATCCAGAAATTAACATCTGTCCTCTTTCTCTCCACACAGACCTTGCTCACAGCCATATCAATGAGTGCCATAGCAACCAATGGAGTTGTCCCAGGTACATTCTGACATGTTGCACTCATCATTTTTCTATTCCACTTGTGATATTTATATGCAATGACTTCCAAATGCAGCTGCAACTGTTAGGAGATACATTGAAGCTTCCCCACTGCCAGAATTCGAAGTAATTTATACTGATAACCGTATCTATACGACCTTCAGATATATTATGGTCATCATGACACAACAGAGACACTGAAGAACATAAATAAATACGTTTCACTATTTGTTAGATAATTAAATAAGCAGGAAATAATATGGGGGTTACATTGTTAGTTAGAGCAGTGGTTCTCAACCTATGGCCAGATATATGCAACCTAAGACAAGAGTCAAACATAGACAGTGCTTCATTTTAAAAGGTTCACAATCCAAAACATGTAGATTTTATATGTCAGGAAATAGCCTCCATGTAAACCCAAGTAGATATTAATATTATTTGTTATTAGAAACTTAATTTTCACACAGTTTTTCTTCCTATGGTTTGTAACAGATGACATGTTCCTTTCCAGGAACCTCCCCAGGAAATTACATAACAGTTCCTTTCTAGGAAATTGTTAAGAAACTATGAAAAATTAAGGTTTGTTTTCAGTGTACATGGGCACGATGAAGTCAAAGGTTTTTCCATCCAAAAAGCAGTATGAGATTTTCTTCATTTATATGCAGGTATTTAATCTATCAAATAACAATTTATGCAAAATAGGATCAAATTGTTTAACATTATTTCTGTAATAATGTTAGTTTACCCACAAAAAAAGCATCTTAAATTACTGCACTATAATGCACTAGCCCTAAAATCACCTATAATTTCCCTGAGACCTGCTACTTCATGATCAGTGTTATGATGTTATATAAAAAAGTTTGACAAAAATGTCAGTGTTATTTCAAATGTCAACCTTTAACCTTTAAACTCAACAAATACTGTTTTATCTTTAGTACAAAGAGCTCTGCATTATTATTCCTGCACTATGTTTGATCTGTGCTTGTGTCTGGAACTAAAACAGAAGGAATACCTTTGGCAGTAGTCTAACCAGGATTTCATTTCTCAAAAGCCGGTGGCTCGTACTACATGATCTCCAGATCATTGGGTCCGGAGTTTGGAGGAGCGGTGGGTCTCTGCTTCTACCTCGGAACCACCTTCGCTGGATCCATGTATATACTGGGCACCATAGAGATTCTGCTGGTATGTTACCACTATGACAGCTACATCAGTAGTCACTTCTGCTGTACAGCATAGCAATGACACACACTCTCTTTTTTTTTTTGCTCTCTCCCCTCTGCCAGACGTACATTGTTCCAACAGCAACAGTGTTTAAAGGAACCGACGATGAAGCAAGGCTCAACAACATGCGTGTTTATGGCACATGCTGCCTGGTCCTGATGGCGTTGGTAGTGTTTGTAGGGGTGAAGTAAGTATCCACCGACACACACACACATACACACACACACACCCAAAGGCATACAGACCAACACTTACTCCCCTTCTGTCTGCAGGTATGTGAACAAACTGGCTCTGGTTTTTCTGGCCTGTGTGATTCTGTCCATCATGGCCACTTATGCAGGAGTAATCAAGACGATGATCGAACCACCAGAATTTAAGTAAGTTACCAACAGCTAAATAACCTTTTCCAATTAAACACTAACATGTTTTCGAGAGTAAAATGTCCTTAAAAACTAAATTCCCTGTTCCCCTTTTTGATTGTCATTGCACGCTCAATGCGTCTCGTTTAATGTGTTGATGTTGTTGTATTTCAACATGTTGATGCTATCAGGGTTATCATTGGTCTAAGTTTTGGAACAGTTCCCATAATAATTTGGGGGATGTAAACAAAAAGTACAATGTTGGAATCACACTGTAGGCTCCAGTTTGAGCCCTGATTTTTATTTGCCAATATTTGTTTACATTTTGGTAAATTTTCACCATCAAAAGTGTTCTGAATGATTTGCAGTATGATTTGCATTCACACTGGCCCAGAAAAATAATATGATATGCTATTATGTATTATGTAGTTGATTGCTGCTGATTGTGACCACAGCGACAGAGCTTTGGTTGTTGCTGTGATTGTGGGTGTAGTCATGGGTTTAAGGTTTATGATGTTATCAGTGACTAAAACCAAAATGGAAAATTCCTCTTTCATTTATTTATACTTTTTTAAGTCTAACCATCATTCCATCTAACAACACTCCTTTTTTCTTTCTCCTCCGCAGTGTCTGTCTGTTGGGAAACCGATCTCTAAGCAATGAAAAGTTTGAAACATGCGCAAAGACGCAGATTGTGAAAAACCAAACTGTGACCACTAAGCTATGGAGCGTCTTCTGTGACAGTGAATACCCCAACGCAACCTGTAATGAATACTTCACCTCAAACAACCTGACAGAGATACAGGCCATACCTGGGCTCCTGAGTGGAGTTATCAAAGGTGAGAAAGACGAGAGGAAGGATTCCTCTTGCTTATTTCACATGGTGCCACAATCTTAATGTGCGTCCAGCTGATGATTCTTTTCTCTGTCCGTCAGAAAACCTGTGGGGCGACTACGGTCCAGCTGGTATGTACATAGAGAACAAAGACCAGCCTTCTGTACAACTCCTGGACACGCCTATAGACACAGATAAGCCCTATGTCTTCAATGACATCACCACCTACTTCACTCTGCTTGTGGGAATATACTTCCCCTCTGTTACAGGTAGATGCTTTATTCCATCAAATACCAAACAAATAATAATATGTTAGGAGCATGACATTATATCCAATACTGATATTATTTGAGAGGCTTTATATGCTCAATGTAGAATTTCTCTAAGAAAGCATACCAATAATTATGAGCATCAGTATGGCTTTAGAAAGGATAATTCTACCTACATGGTATAAGCTTGTAGACAAAATACATGCAGCTATAAATGATAACAAATTTGCAAACAACACATTTTTTAGATGATAGTTTATTAGCCAAATTAAAACACTATGATTTCCATGGTGATACACTAAAGTGGTTGCATGAGTGAAAGAGAGCAATATGTATTAACTAATGGTTGTGCTTCAAACAGTTCATATAACATGTGGTGTACCACAAGGATCTATTTTAGGACCCTTATTATTTCTTATATACATGAATGATTTTTTAACATTATGTACATTTTCTTTTCCGGCTTTGTTTGCTGATGATACCAATATGATTTTCTCACACAGTCTAGTAAATAATACAATGAGGAATTGTATTAGAAAAGAGTCTCCTTAGGGTAGAGGAGTATTATTTTATTTAGATTTTATGCAAATGTTATGTGTGTGCACTAGGGTACTTTTACTTAATTTGAGTATTACTATATTACTATATAGTACTTTATACTTGTAATCCACTACATATCAGAGAGAAATATTGTACCTTTTACTTAACTACATGTATTTGATTTGAAAAATACTTTTAGGACTAAATAATACTCGAGTTATAGTACAATACTTGTAATTTTAATACATTTTGCTTTTAATACTTTTCTTAATGTACTTTAGCTGAAGTCATTTTAAAAATCTGAGTATTATCACAGTGTAGTATTGATACCTTTACATATACTTCAACCACCACTGACAATAACTTTTATGTTGTGTGTTTGCTTGCTTTCAGGTATAATGGCTGGTTCTAACAGGTCCGGTGATCTCAGAGATGCCCAGAGGTCCATTCCAATAGGAACCATAATGGCTATTCTCACCACCTCTTTCATTTGTATCCTCTAGGATCTAGACTCTTTCTAAGTGTGTTTGCAGCCGATACGCAGTGACTTATAAACTAACCTTTGAATGTGCACACACAAGCATGTGTAGGAGTTGACGACAGGGAGCAGCAAGACTGATTTAATCAGCTATGTTGTTATTTATTTGTATAATGTAACAGATAAGGCTGTTAAAAAGTAAATGCACAGTGCGGGTATTTCCATCTTAACTTCATGGTCCAGACATCTCCTGTGTGGTCTTGTTTGGAGCCTGTATTGAAGGAGTGGTGCTGAGAGACAAGTGAGTGTATTTTTAATTATTTACTTATTGTAATTTTGTAGTGAAACAAATGGTGGTACTCTGCTATTTTGACATCTTGTAAGTGCTCATTAGCTTTTAAATATAGTGGTTTTTAGAAAACAATATACTGTTTACTGGGAAGTGAAATGTGAAATATTTTTCCAGTTGTTCCTAAAATGCTGTGCATACACAGAGTACACTAAATTAGAAGTATATTTATTCAGTCACACAAATGTGTGTATGCTTGTGGATGTTTCAGATTTGGTTACTCGGTAAAGAAGAACCCAGTAATTGGTATTCTGGCCTGGCCGTCACCCTGGGTGATCGTGATTGGCTCGTTTTTCTCCTGCTGCGGGGCGGGACTTCAGAGCCTCACTGGCGCTCCCCGGCTACTGCAGGCCATCGCTCGGGATGGCATCATCCCGTTCTTACAGGTCAGTGCTAAAGTAATGAGACATCTGGAAGCTACTGTGCTGTTTGACATTGATAAGACGTGTATGTATTTGTGTTTCTGCTATTTAATGGAGCACTGTATTGGACCATTTCTGTCTTTCTTAGGTCTTTGGCCATGGGAAGGCTAATGGTGAGCCAACCTGGGCTCTGTTGCTGACAGTAGGGATCTGTGAGATAGGAATCCTCATCGCTTCTCTGGATGCTGTGGCCCCCATCCTCTCCATGTACGTGGTTTAATACTAGAAAATACAAATCTATCCTATTTGCCAAAGTAATTGCTTTCCCTCTTTAATAATAATTTCCATCTCTGTGCTTGCTCAGGTTTTTCCTCATGTGCTATCTGTTTGTTAACCTGGCCTGTGCTGTTCAGACTTTGCTCTGTACCCCCAACTGGAGACCTCGCTTCAAGTTCTATCACTGGTAAGAACAGCTTCCAACTAAACTCAAAATAAATTCTGCAAATGTTATTAAATGTAAAAAAGATTTCCAGTTTTTATTAAAACCACAGACTGTTGCAGTAATACGTACTGTATGTATCCTGTAGGACCCTGTCTTTCTTAGGGATGAGTCTGTGTCTATCTCTCATGTTCATCTCCTCCTGGTACTACGCCTTGGTTGCCATGGTGATAGCCGGCTGTATCTACAAGTACATTGAGTACAAAGGGTGAGTTTTCAGGTCCAGAGATTAATCAAATCAAAACGGCTTTAAACGCCTCATTATTGGTAGTATCCAAGCAAAACTAGCCACTGTTAATAAGTGTTGTGAAAGTGGAGTAAAGTTTTGTTTGTGAAGTTAAATGAAGCATAGTTTCTCGCTTGATCTATAGATATCCACAAGTGGTAGCCAAACAGTATAACACAGACATTCTCGGTTTTCTTTGATGGCACAGGAGAAAACAATGATTTACCCTCACTGTGCTTGCATTATTACTACACCATTAAAATAACTGCTCATTTTAAAGTATTGCAGCAGAAAAGGTTGATGAAAATGGCAAAAAAAAAAAAAGTTTTTTTTTTTTTGCATTTTTTGAATGAGTTAGTGTGCTTAATGGGAAGGGAAACCCTTTTTCCAAATAAGTTCTGATGTATAACATTTTACTCACATGACTGATGAGCAGGTTCTGCACCGACAGTCTCCTAATCGGTTCCATGGCTCTAGGATTCATCCTTGATAACACCACACAGCTCTAATGTAACAATACATGACCACTTGCTATATCTTCTTAAAACCCATGAATTGTGTGCTTGGAGATGTGGATGTAATTTCTCTCAAGACAGCGGTGAAGGCTTAATGTATTGTATGCCAGACACATTTGCATATCTATTTATTCTTAAATATTTGGAAAACAGGTGTTACTTTGCTGTTTTGGTTGCAGGGCAGTGAAGGAATGGGGAGACGGGATCAGAGGTCTGTCCTTAAATGCAGCACGCTATGCTCTCATCCGGCTGGAAGAAGCACCACTGCACACCAAAAACTGGAGGTGAGTGTGTGTGTGTGTGTGCACTGTGATTTGCTTTAATCATAATGAAGCCAGGGGAATTGACACACAAAACTATAGTAATTAGTATTATTTGTGGGATCTTTATTTCTTGTTATGCCGAGATTGCTTCTTAAGTTATTTTCCCTACACGTTTCCAAAAATATAATCCACAGGCAATACCTGCTGTCTACATTACCCATAATACAGCTCAACTGCTGAAAGTTCAGCTCACTTTCCCTTTAACAAACTTATTTTCACAATCTGGTTTGGATTTATATCATAAATTGTTAATATTTAATTCTTAATGCTTAATTTGCACTCACATTTTTGCTTGTATTCCACCACATAAATGTCTTTTCAGGCCTCAGCTGTTGGTGTTGTGTAAGTTGGACTCGGACCTGTCAGTGAAACACCCTCGCCTCCTGTCCTTTAGTACACAGCTCAAAGCAGGAAAGGGACTGACCATCGTCTGTTCAGTCCTGGAGGGAACCTACATGACCCGGGGCAATGAGGCCAAGACTGGAGAGCAGGTTTGTCAATTTACTAATCAGTTCATTTGTTCATCTGCTCTGCCTGTTTAGTCCTTTGCAGGGTTTCCCAGTGTTCAGGTTGCAGGTCTATGTCGTGTCTTTAATATAAGCTCTAAATAATGTCAAAATAAAGCTTAACTTGGTCCCTGCAGAACTTGAAAGCAGCCATGGCTTCAGAGCGGATGAAGGGTTTCTCCCATGTGGTGGTATCCTCAAACCTGCGTGATGGTTTCTCCCTGCTCATCCAGTCAGCAGGACTGGGAGGAATGAAACACAACGCTGTCCTGATGGCCTGGCCGACAGGTTGGACACAAGCCCGGGACTCCTCCGCAAGGAGGAACTTCATAGGTAAACTGAACAGGCATGTCTTGAAGGAAGTGTGTGACAAAATCAAATCAAATCAGACAAAATTACACTTAATTAAGTTGATATGTAGAATAATTAATGTTCCCTGCATTCAATTGATTTTTAAAGGTAAGAATAACCTATATTTCTACAGTAATAAGAGCTTTTCTCTTGTCATACCAACAACTTTACTGGTATGATTTTAACACAAGAGTTTGAAGACACAAAGGAGTTGTAAGAAGTAGAGGGAACCTTTATCTCTGCAAGAGAAAAAAGGAAAGGCAAAGAAAGCAGCCCTGACATAGAAACATTCGATTACTCTCGACAGAAACGGTAAGAGAAACGACGGCAGCTCATCAGGCTCTGCTGGTTGCTAAGAACATCGACCATTTCCCCAGTAACCAGGAGCGTCTGAAGGAGGGAACCATTGATGTGTGGTGGATCGTACATGATGGTGGACTACTCATGCTGCTGCCTTTTCTACTGAGTCAACACAAGGTGTGTGTGTGTGTGTTGTCTAAATTGTCTTTTCCTTTTTCCTTTTAGATAATTTAATGGGTTTTACTGCAAGTATTATCAAAGTAGAAACACAACCGCTTTATAGATAACTCTTAAAACAAAGGAAATAATTATCATTAATAATGTAAAAACCATAGTAGCCTACAGAGAATAAACTTCAGCTTTCAGCTTTTTATACATATTTTACTGTATGCATAACTAAACACAACATGTTTCTGATATTTGAGGGTGTTTTATGAAACAATACAGACCCAACTGTTTTCTAACAATCACCAGATAGGATCATGGTTAGGCCAAGCCTCTTTCTCAAATCAGTGGTGTTGTTAGTGTTTTAACAAATAAAACGAAGGGTTAAATTAAACTTCCCTGATAACCGTGTTCTTCTTTGCCCAAACATTTTCTCTACCGTGTTTGTTTTACATGTGATAGTGATTTATTTTACCAGCCTTTCAATCTTTAACAGTTATATTGTTCTATAAAGCAACTTCTGTTTGTGCCATAAAATAATTCAATGGACATTCTTATAAATGCAGGCAGGTATCACACAATTTACATTTAGTGTAGTGGCTAATTCACTATTAATAATAAAAAAAATCAGATGGCTTAATTGCTTAGAGTTTTTTGCTCACATTTCCCTCCTGTGTACAGTGTGTAAAACCAGAGCATATACTGATACATGTCCTATCTCTGTAGGTATGGAGGAAGTGTAAAATGCGAATCTTCACGGTGGCCCAGATGGACGACAATTCCATCCAGATGAAGAAGGACCTCCAGATGTTTCTCTACCATCTACGCCTGGATGCAGAGGTGGAGGTGGTGGAAATGGTGAGACTATTTGCAGGCTGATTGTTCACTTAAAACTGCTGTAAATGAGAACGCTAGCCACGGCAAATAAATCAAATGACTATTTTTCTAAATCTGCAACTGAAAATGTTCTATGTGTCCCTCCAGCATGACAGTGACATCTCAGCCTTCACCTATGAGAAGACCCTGGTGATGGAGCAGAGGTCTCAGATGCTTAAACAGATGCAGCTGTCCCGCACTGAGAGGGAGAGAGAGGTACTAAAACTCACATTACATAACACATCCGCTGTAAGAAATCATGCACTGTAAAAAAAAAAAAAAAAAAAATATGGCAATAGCTCCGGGCTTCATGCTGTTGCTTATGACATTACACCCCCTTTACACTTTGCATTAAAATGTGTTTTGGGTGTGTGACCACATAAAAGAACAGATGGAAATGCACCCAAGACGCAGTGAGGACAGATCCGATCTGATCAGAAGTTGTTGAGTTTAGATATGCCCCTAATTAAGGATTATGTTCTATTTATTATTTTGTGCCATGAAAGCACTAAAAGATGTATTTTTCAACAGAACTGCATTAAAAGTGAAAGCAATATGGGTGGAAATGAATAATGTACAGTAGGAAAAAACTGAGCAGCTGACTGTTTATGTGCAAAGCTAACTAGAACTTCAAATCTTTTTATGTTATGTTTGTTGTCTTGATATTGGGATGGTGTGTAATGATGCAAAAAAATAATAACAAATTTATAATTCCCCTTAAATCCATTGAAACTAAAGTAATGAGCCCGTTTTGAAACTGTAAGGTGGAGAAAGTACAGATATTTGTGTAAAAAGGTAGGGGGTAAAAGTAAAGTGTTTTTTAAGGCAGTCTGGGGCGGATTTGCTGCCACTTTGCTCTAGAGGAGAGAGATCCAATCTCAGTGGGGATAAGAATGCATTTATACCATATGTAAACGCAAAGGCAAGATTGGATTGATTAACACGTCCGGATACAGATCTCATTTTAATATCAGGTGTAAATGGGGTGTCATATTATATGACATTTTCTGATGCGGTTAAAATATACATTGAGCCCATATATGAGTTGTGTTGTACCATCTAGAAGTAACCTAGGTAGCATTGTATTATTGTATGCAAGTATAATGACAATTACACTTAATTCAATTGAAAGTGTACACATAAATACTCTCCACAACACTTTAAAAACACACTACAAATCTCCTTGGTCAAGTTAATGTGAAACTACGCTATAAAAAAAAAATGTCTGCAGCACTATTAAATGTTCAGAGGTACAGCACACATTACTACTGTCAAATATTCAGATATAACAAACCGTATACAGCCCAATAAGATATTGAAGCTGTAATACACGGATACAGCTACCCACCTCCTAAAGAAAAAGGTGTAGCACTTACTCTTCTGCTGATGTTGACCTTTGAACTCTTCCCCCAACCTGGCTGTGTGATTGGTCAACGGGCTCAGATTCAGAGCATCACAGATGTATCGCGTGGCTCCATAAAGCGGAAGAAGTCGCCGGGTGCTGTCGCCTTTTCCCTCAACACGCCTTGCATACCTGAGGATGAGGTAGTCGTGGCAACCAAACAGCTCGTAGTAACCAACCATGATGCCACTGGTCCCTCCATTTATCCATGCCATCCTTTCTCACGTCATAATCCATTCATAACAACTGCAATGCTTCAGACAGTGCTGTCATCAGAGAAATAATGTTGAGCCTCAGTGTTTGCCGTCCTCCTTCCAGTCAATGTACTGGAGAAGCTGACCAGGCAAAGACAATGACACCAAATGCTGCCACTAGAGGTCGACAAATTCCTCACTGAGTGCCTGTAAATATGCCCCAGACTCCCAGTAGTGGAGGTCTGTATGAGACTCTGGATTACTAACCATTACATCCTCTCCTTCACACAGTCAACACTTCAGTCTGTTTACAGTTGAAAATCTGTCTGTTCCATTCTGCAGGGAAAATAAGATTATGGTTTGTTCTTGAGTGAAAACTGTAAACAAAAAAACAGTAGGCCTATACCTCAACATTTCAGTCATTTCCGTGAAGAAAACTAAATTAAATTATAATTATTTTGGAAGTTTAGATTATTTGTTAATATAACCTTGACCTAAACACAAGCTATGTTAAAAGAGCCTTCACTCTCTGATAAACAGCCTCGTCCTGCATTAGTGCGCAGTAGAAATAACCAAAGACCAAATAAAACAACGGCCAAGCGTCAGGGCGAAGGAAACACTGTAAAAACAAGTAAAAGTTTTAAAGAGTTACAAAAGGTCTTAATATTTTGCAGGAGGAGACAAGAGAGGGATATTGTATTTCATTATGTCTTTAATGGAGATAACATGAACAGACCAGGAGGTGTACTGCGTACACTGTAAACTACAATGTGTTAGTTTCTGTGTTCTTTACCTGCATGTGCTGTCATACCCATAAAGCTGTCTATCACTTTACTGCCATAAAAATAACTACATCTACATAATTTGTCTTCATATTCCCTTCTGCTCATATGTCCATGTCCCTCATAACTATGTAGATATCTCTGCAATGACATTCATCTTTGTGGTGTTTTTTTCCCCAGTAATAGTAAGTTAAAACACACAGTACTACTGGACAGAAATGCAGAATCTGAATAGTAAAAGTAGATAAGTTAATAGAATAATTGTAAGTCATATTACTGTTTCTCCAGAGCTACCAGACAGAGTTTGAGTTACCATAAATAAATTTCATTGGAAATCCAATGTTTTATTGGTAGAAATTAGAAACGAACAAGGATCTGACATGGCTGAGAACTACAACAACCAAACTGTCTTTTTATCATCTCACTTGTCATTTTTTGTTTTTAGGCCCAGCTGATCCACGACAGAAACACAGCGTGTCATTCTACAATGACTGACAAAGCTGCTGGTGCCACACCAGATCGTGTCCACATGACCTGGACCAAAGATAAACTGGTTCACGAGAGGAACAAACACAGAGAAGGCATGGGAGTCAAAGACATGTTTAATATGAAACCGTAAGTAGATACATGAGTAGATGTTTTTATCTATTGCACTTTTATCATTATTTTATTATTACTTGTGTTTTATTTATTCACATAAGCTGCTGTTGTACAGCACTTAGCTACAAGAACTATTAGTGATAGATTTGTAGTTGTAGTTATGGAGAGACTTATTTTAGCATATCCTATTATATTATTCAAGGATTGTCCCCTGAAGTGCATTCAATAACTTTCATGTCATTGGCTTGTGTGTTTGTAATGTGATGATGAACAGTCATGAAAAGTCTTGAGAAAGTAAAATCTAAATATCTGATAAACTCAAAGAGGAGCAGCTCTTATTGTTGCGTTAATGTTGGATATGTTTTTGCTCCCTTCCTCTAGTGAGTGGGAGAATCTGTAAGTCACTTTATCTTCCCCTCTTGTTTGCATGTGCATGAGCTCTCTGTGCCTGTTGTAAGAATAATCTTGCAATGCGTTGGGATGCTTAAATCACAGGTTCAGTTTGCATGATCGCGATTGTGCAGCTTGCATGTGTCTATGTAGTTGCCTGCACAGATCATCCGATTCCCAGCCACGCCTACTGTGCTTCCTGTAGACTGCTGATTCGGAGTGTTATACTAAAACAGTGAACATGATGAATGGCAGTGTTCTTATTAATGTCTGTGGTTTAATGTAGCAACCAGTCCAACGTGCGGCGGATGCACACAGCCGTGAAGCTGAACGAAGTGGTGGTCAAGAAATCCCAGAATTCACAGCTGGTGTTGCTGAACATGCCAGGCCCACCGAAGAACAAGAAAGGGGATGAGAACTGTATCCTTTTACTCAGTCGGTCACATTAAAGGAATAGTTAAAGATCCCCTGAAAAATCTTATTCAGCAGATGAATGTGAAAATATCCTTCTAGAGTCAAACTCTGCACAGACAGCATTCAAACAGCACACTGTAGGAACAAGAGGGGAAACACTGATTTCTGAGTTGAGGGGGGCTTTAAACATTTTGGGAGATACTTGTTTACTTTCTTGCCAAAATAGAGTTTGCCATGATAAAAACGATTCCAGTCTGTATGCAAAATATGAAGCTATAACCACCGTGCAGTTAGCTTAGCTTAGTTTAGCTTAGCTTAGTTTAGCATTATGACTCAGAATAGAGGGAAACAGCTAGCTCTGTTCAAAGTTCACAGATTCCACCTACCAACACCTTTAGAGCCTACTAATTGAAATGTACAAAAAAATGTAACCGGACAGTTATGGCTTAGATCTCAGTATGTCTAAAATGACAGCTACCACTATTATGCTATTACAACTCGCTTTACCTCCTGAGCCATAGCCCCGTATTGTGGTAATGTAGTGCTGTAAAAAAGTACAGTTCTCTCTGAAATGTAGTGAAGTACAAGTTTAAAGTAAGATTAAATGGATACACCCAAGAAAAATACAGGGACTGTACAGTAATCTGTACCTACGTACAGTACTCAGAGTCAAGGTACTTCATTATATTCCACCACTCTCAGGAGAATTTGTCACACGCAGAAAATGGAGGTCTTAACTGCTGTACAGTATGTCCTTAACCAGAATGCATCTCTCAGATATGGAGTTCCTGGAGGTCCTGATGGATGGCCTAGACCGTGTCGTGTTGGTTCGTGGAGGTGGTCGGGAGGTCATTACCATCTACTCCTAGTGCCAGGAGTTCTTAATCGTTTGGAAGGGCACTGGAAAAAAACACTCTTGGACAGTAGGACAGGGAGTTGACAGAGGAGGGAAATGGCTTTGAGATGGACAAAGATGTTGGACAGATGAAGTAGAGGTTGCTCCCTCTCATACTGCCAGGAGGAAAACAGCAACAGTGCCACTTACCATTTTGGAAGGCCGTGGTCGAAGGGAAGGACAGGGGAGTTTACCTGCAGTGCAGCCTCAGTGGGCTCAGAGGTTCTCTCTACACCCCCTCCTCCTCCTCCTCGGGCTCCCTAACTCCGCCACATCTGTACACTGTACAGATGAATGTACCGCTGCACTGTGGAGACGTTCTCCCCTCAGATAAACTTTGTAAGAGCAGTCATTTCAATTTAACATATTTCATTGCTTCACCAGGCACTTGTTGGAGGAAAGAACACCAACTACAGCTGGTTGTCATTTTTAGCATTTCACTGATTGTAGTTTCAATGAGGAGTGCCAACATAGCTGACAGTGCCACTGATGAAACTTTCCACTGATTTATAACAAGCACTGACTTTGGAATCATGGGATGAGTTGAACATGTTTTTAAGCCATTATATCTGACAGAATATCATGTATCACAAAATAAAGGCCCATTGAGTCCTGTCAGGGCAGTTAAAGGGCAAATGTGGCAATATTGATTGTAATCTATAGATTCTCTTGAACATTGCTTATCCACCGTTTTTGTTGTCACAGATAACATTAGTGTGCCATATGTGATGAAAAAGTACCAGATAGTAAAAATGCAACTTTTTTAGTTGATGATTTTTGTGTTTGAGGAAAACGTTACAGTGTGAGTGTGTGTGTGTGTGAGCTCAGCTCTTAACCTGCCAGCGTGCACTGATGAGGAAAACTGAGCAATGTGGAGCCTATGTAGTAGTGTTTTCATTTAATGTGATTTCATATGTTTTAAGCACAGATAACTTTAGCTATGGGACGTTTGTTCATGAAAAAAGACACACATAATAAACAAACCAAAGAAAAAGTTAATGTCTTTAAAAGACACTGAGTCCAGAAATACTTATGTGTTGCATTGCTATATATGTTTCCTGTGTCCCTGCAGAATCATAAAGGTATAATGTGAAAGAGAAGTTGTTAATGCTTTCGACTTGGACACAATAGCCTGCTGTGTTTAATTACATCATATAAGTGATATGCTGACCGTGATGACGACAATGGACCTCAGGCAAGAAGCAATATACAAACAAATATTCTCTTATCTTTGTTCATATCCACGATTTGTTTTTATTTTGTTTGTATCCGCTGACTTCTAGGATTGTTTTCTTATTTTTGATCTTCTTTTAGGTCAGAGAAAGTTTTATGGTGGTGGCTGAGAGCACTCTAACAAGATAAGAAAAAAAACATCCAGTTTTCACAGTCACAAATTTTTTGTCTCAATATCGTATAATAAGATTAGATTTTATGTTTCAGAGTAATTATAATGGCGGCATATTAGATTTGTGGACTACAGAAATACTATTGCTCCACTTGTTAATTTAGGTTTTTGATTTTCCACTCTGGAAAAATCACATTTACTTTAAGTTCATTTTACTCGTACATGGATTCCATATAATCTCATGCTCTTCAAAGTTCTTCTTCTTCTTATAGACATACATCTTAAATATCAATTTGTCATCATATGTATCGTCAATACTTCAACGTTATATAGATATTATATTTATGGCATATGCTAATGTCTTTTACTCTGCACTGAGCTATTTTAATTCATTTGTTTTTAGTCTCTTCTAGTGTCTAGCATCTATTTATCATCTATCTTTGTTTGGTGGCATCGCTCCAATTCTTCAAGGACAACACCTGCCCTTACTGTATAGTGTTTAGTGGGCATTATCTCTGCTAATAACAAACAGCCACTTGTCTTCATGGTTAAAGAAAGCATTAATGTAATTTATATTTTCAATTTCACTGTATTCCCAGGTTTCAGCAGTAACCTTGAGTGAGTGTAGAAATGATGTCCAAAACAATGAAAATAAAATCCCTGTTGTAATAAACCTGAATTATCCTAAAACTGCTGTTGGAAACGGGGAATAAAACAGTCACTTATCCATCCACACAACCCTACTTTCAAGAATCCCAACCTGTTCGCTGCTAATGTTTGCAGCACATTTGAACAAAGAACGACAACACTACGTTTGTGTGGCGTCATTCGTGCATCACTAGTTTTCTTCTTTCTCTGTTTTAAAATACTATCAATGTTATGTTTTGCTGAGCCGCCTCGCCATACCATTAAAAGGCCACACTTTGTTTGCGGCTACTGTGAAAAGTCTTAAGACATGTTTTAGTTTGACCGTCAGGGTATGTCTGTCTTAACGTGGGTTGAGTATAACTTATAGGATTATCGTACGACAATTGGCAATGCATCAAGCTTTGACTCTATGTCCCAGAAGTGTTATTTAGCCTTATACTTGGAAGTATTATGCGACATTCACATGGATTCAGCGCAATACACAAGACGGAATCCGAGATGCCATGTAAGTGGAATGAGAGCAGGACGTAAAATTACGCAGGTATACGTGGAGAAAAGATGGGGCATCTGGACATTGATGCTAATAATTCAGTAATTACTTATCATTTTGTTTTATTAGTTTTGATCCACTGCTGATGAGGTGCTGTCTGTGTGAATGCAGCACTATTCAAGTAGATTAGGATAAAGATAGTGTTAGCTACAGGATGGAGTTTTCTTTTATACTGTAAAAACCACAGTGAAGAGATAACTTTCTGTTATGAATTGGCACTATTCAAATAAAACTGAATTGAATTGAAAATGCTAAATTGGAATCTGGTATTTAACTATCATCCATCCAGACCAGCCCAACCAGCATGAGCAGCCATCAGCAGCTAGAAACTGTTTATATTGGCGAAATTATTTAACTTATTTATAATAACGAGTTAAATAATGTATTTAATATTATTACGCAATATTTTCACCAGATAACAGGATATTCTGCCATCCAGCACAACAAACAAATACTGACATCAACATCAAGAAAACAACAACAGGATTTTAATATTAAACAGAGGTGAAAGCATCATGTGTACCAGTTGGTCACTCATCTGTGACTCGTCTGTGACACACACAGACAAAAAGCAGGAAACATCAAAGCAGGAAGTGTGTATACAAAGGAAATGAAGCTGAATGACAGACCACATTTCTCTGATTGCTTGCTGTTACAAGTTCATTAACTGAGATTTAGGCCATCTAAATCAGAATCAATTGATGTTGCCACTTATTATCTACCGGAATTAAATCTCTTATAAAAAATCCATTGTTCTTTCCATTGTGGCTCACCTGAAGGTGATGATTGCACTCTCAGTTGAATCGGTTCCTGTGT